GACTTGCCAACGAAGAAAGAAGCGGAGGCCTCTTTCTTCCATACCTCATGTATTTGTGATCATGTGACTTTGTTTGAGAGGCTGCCATATCTTGGACCAGTTCTCACTTCCGCCTCCATGACAAACAATTGTCGAAAGATGAATTGGAGGTCGCAACCTGAGAACCCTGTTCGAACCGACCGTTATTATTAAATATAAACGATCCCAGGAATGGGCTGAGGAAGAAGCTGGAGTTCTTCGGTCCTACGCATCCTGGGCCTGCGACCGTGCTCAGCGTAACAAGACAACCAGGCGATTCATGTAGGCGATTCATGTAACAAGCCATAAAATAGATCTTCCACTTGTGCCGGCCAGGAAAGGCCCCAACCATGAGAAGTTCGCCAAGCTGAAGCAAGTTATCCAAGCGAAGAAACAGGACTCCCGATTTGTAAAATAAAGCAACTGACCCACCAAAATCACCCCGCAGGAGTCTGCGAAAGAGAAGAGCGCAGATGCAGAAATGGAGGTCGCCGGGATAAGTTCGAGTTTCTTCTGGTTGAAACGGTTTGGGGTTATGCTTGTGGATTGGTATTCATATTTGGTTTGTTGGAGAAATACAATTGTGGACCCAACTCCAGGAACCCTACGGATCAATTCTGATTCCAGTCATCCTTGCGCCAAGAAGAAAAGAACTGAAAGTCATAAGGGTAGTCGTGTTAGGCTTTACNNACTTAGGGTATTTAGATTTTGGGGCATCATGTGCCGACACACTGTCTTTAACTGCTATGTAACTTGGCAACTAGGCTGGTATGTTTATGGAGAAAGACCTTTCCAGTCCTGCTTGATTGTTACAAAGTATTGACACCCGCCCAACCCCGATCTGAGACCGAACCCTTTCAACCGTCGGCCCTAAAGACCCCAAATCCGAGTCCCGAAGACCGCCCAAAACTGCCCAACTTGGCTAAACAAGTTCGAACACCCTAAAGACCCCGAGAAGCCCTAAGCCCATGAAGCACCCAACCCCAAAATATTGGCTTAAGGTTCTGCGATTTAAGGCCCATAACTTAGAGCTTGGTTTTGCCGATCTTTCACAAGCCTGGTGCTTAAATTTACAATATTAGGCATTATTAGGGTTGAGGATTTAGGGTTTCATGGCTTGGGTTTTGGACACCTTCAATATTTTCTCAATCTTAGTACTACGACTCTTCTTTCTCCTACTTCTACTCCTACCCCGCTCCTACCACCATGTCGTCTGCCGGCTGCTCAGCCGGGTAGTAACCAAGCAAGATGTTTGGGTTCAGTTGCGGGTTTTGGGA